AACTGTCTTTGGGACAAGCTTTGTTTAAGTCGGTAAAATCAATGCAGAGTCGCCATGCACCGGAACTCTTTTTTACTAGAACAGGATTTGACACCCAAGTCGGGTATTTCGTCTCTTGAATGAACTTGTTATCAACCAATTTTTGAACTTCTTCTTCAAGAGCTTTCTGTCGATCAGGACCGAGTTTGCGTCGTTTTTGGACCACCGGTTTAATTGTCGGATCCAAATTAAGTCGATGAGAAGCGACCTTTGGATCAATTCCTTTCATATCTTCGTGTTTCCAAGCAAATACGTCAGAATTGGCTTTGAGGAATTGTATGAGCCGAGTTCGTATTGGTTCTTGAAGATTGGCCCCAATTTGCACCGACTTGTGACAAACTGGATCATCGATGAATATCACCTCAACCTCTTCTGATGGTTCAGCTCGTTCAAGTTTGCTTTTCTCCTTAAATTGAATTCGAGGATCAAGTGCATCTTCTTCTTTAATTGGTTCCTTTCCAGGACATCTTCCACGATCACAAATCAGATCGTTATTTGATTTTACTGGATCAAGTTCCATCTCGGTATTGTATGATTCCGAGTTGATGAGTGTTGAATCTTCTTGACTTTCTTCGATATTCTCCATCATATGTACGGGCATACATGGTTCGTGCCAGGGTTTAACCCAAACCATTCCGCGAGCTTCATATTGATCTCCATAATGAGTTCCTTCTCCATTATTGGTAGGAAATTTCAGAGCATAATGAAATATTGATACAGCTGCACGAAGCTTGTATAAAGCAGTCCGTCCAATGATGGCATTATATTGATTTTTTAAATCCATCACCTTGAATGTCTCCATAATGACTTTGGAAGCTTGTCCAGGAATTCCGAACCGAATTGGCATAGTAATTTCACCAAGGGTTGATGTTATCGTTCCATTAAAACCTTGTACTTGATCCTTACAGGGTTTCAGCTCGGATGGATCGATTCCCATTTGCTCAAATGTTCGTAACATCATGATACTTGAATATGCTCCGGTATCCACCAACATACGATGTATCGGTATCCCGCAGATGGGCGCCGTGATTATCAAGGGATCAGCATGAGGGTGAGCAAAATAACTAGCATCGTCAACATTAAATGTTATTGGACAATTGTTTCGAGCATTAATTTTATCTCGGAGGTCGGTCGTCAAAACATTTTTGCCCGAGTTAAAAGCTTTTCGAGCATACGCTTTCATTTGCCTCCGTGATTCAGACGTTGCATTGCTGCTGTTATTGACCCGAGGTTCATGGTGTGAATTGTCAGGATTATAATATCCCCCTCGACACATCATTTCAGTCGAATCTCTTTCTCTCTGATTCATCATGTATATTTCTTTCTCACTTGATCTTACCCGTTTTGGATTAATTGGACGTTCTTCATCGTCTTCATCGTCTGGCAAATCAGGCATTCTTCCTTTTCGTTTGTAATCAACGTTCTTAGCAAATCTTTGGACTTGAGGATGTCCGATAAGTCGCAACAGGGCAGAAAGCAAACCAAGACATTCATCGGTATTATGACCTGCCGACTTATGGTATGAACAATATCTCGTTTTATCAAGTTTTTCTTCGGGAGTCCTAACAGGTCGTGGGTCAGGAAGGATCCCTTTCCCTTTTAATTCTTCAAATATAGTTGCTGCTCCCGCCGAGAATACTGTTTGGTAGCTTGATTTGACTTCATTAAGGTATTTAGTTCTGGCTTCTTGCACTTCAGGGATCTTTGGATTCCCAAATCGAGACTTATTTGGTTTGAAGAATTTACTTTTCTTCTTTTTCGACTCTTGCCCGACTTCCGACTTCAATGAGGAAAAGTCGATATTAGGAACCGACATTGATTCTTCAGCTAAAATATGCTGTTGAGCCCGGGCTAGAAAGTCTTGAAATGAAGTCGGTTTATTCTGACATATACTCCATCGGAACAACGAGTTTGGCTTCAATCCGGCTATGGCTGTGACTAATAGCGTTTCAGGATGGCATTGCTCCATATTTTGTATGCGTTCGTTGAACCGAGTAATATAATCTTTCACACTTTCATCATCTTTTTGTACAATATTTGCGATCGATTCTTTGGGAATTAAAGAAACTCGGGCCCCAATAAAATGAGAGCGAAAAGCCGTTCTCAATTGCTGCCACGTAGAAATTGAGTACCGAGATAGGGAATGATACCATTTTTGAGCTCGAGGTCCCAAAGTTAAGGAAAACATCCGACATCTGAGTGCTTCATTTGCTCCATGAAGGTCCATCCAAGATGTATACTGACCAAGATGAGCGTCTGGATCGGAAGTTCCATCATACAAGCCAATTTGTGGAACTTTTACTTTAGTTGGAATAGGCTCCCTAGTCAAATGAGGGGCTAAAGGAGTTCCAACCTCTTGATACGTCTCTTCTGTCATTGGAATTCGTCGCGGTGGTTCACCATGTTCATCTTGGCAAGTCTCCAGCTCAGCGATTCTCTTTCTCAACATTTCTAACTCTTCTGATTCGCGTCTTTGGCGATTTCTTTCAATTAAACGACGTAATTCGTTTTGCCCACGTCGAGCATGGTTTTGTTCGAGAGTATGTCGTAAATCAGAGGGTTGATCATGTCGTAATATTTCTGGTAACGATGGAGTAGGTTGCCGCGGTCGATGCCCAGAATGACTTTCTGCAGTTGCCTCTGAACGTACTGTTTCAGGAACAGGTGTTCGTACAGGAACTACTCCACGATTTTGAGTTGCAACATCACGTTGTGATTCATGCGTTCGTGGATGAGAAGTTGCATGTGACGCAGCAGGAATTTCATTTCTTTGTGGAACTGGTGTAGGATGAGTTCGCGAATTAGCTGCGGCGGCTGGTTCTATCCTTGTGCGTGCCATAAAGTCAGTTAAATTTTTCAAGAACTCTGGATCCTGAAATAAAACTGAATAATCAATTGACATAGATGGCATGGCTGAAGTTCCAGTTGTATGAGTTGGATGACGATTGATCCCAGCGTCTGGATTACGTTCATTTCGTCCAGAATTCGACATCCTTTTTGTGTGTTATTACAAGACAAACAATCAAAACGAAAGGGGCAGTGGCGGCCCTCCTTCTAGCGCCAAACTGTTGCTGTCTTGAATTAACAACTTCAAATTAAACACAGTTGATGTCAAGAAAATGAAGATTAATGTTTAATTGGATTTTATTGATTTTGTTCACAAGAGTACAGAAGTCGGTTTTAAGCTGAAAACCGAGATCATTTTTTGTTCATGTACAATGTGTTCTAAAAGATCCTCGTACTATCATAAATTCTGCCATTTATAGTACGGTGGCTTTTGTCTTCTTGCTCGAAATGGATAAAGACGCATTTAATGTCGAGCTGCTTCTCTTGAAGCGGCGGGAAACATCAATGATTGCCTTTTTGTTTCGTTGGTCCAATCAGATGCTTATAATGATTACTTTCTGTTGGAATATTCAACTCTGTGATAGTCGGTTGACCTGAAGTCGGTTTCGATCCTTCTGAAAGCCCTTCAGAAGTTGGATGTTCGGAAGTCGGTAATTTGTCAGAAGTCAGTAACTACGTAGAAGTCGGTAATTTGATTTAATAGATGCCGACTTGGGATAAGTCCATTTTTTGGGGAGACTATTTTGCCATTACTGTGATTAATCTTCATCTTTAATTTTGCAATCAAGTCGGATATCAACATTCGGATATCAACAAGGATATTACTTTGTTGCTTAAGACTGTCCGGATAGGCTGCCCAGACGGTCCAAGCTTCTCGTTTGTACTGCTCAAACTGCCTGAACTGACCAATTCTGGTAAGCCATGTGATCCAATTCTTGTGTAGTTCTCATCCTAATTATATTCTTTCTTATCCATTAGTCTGCTTCATTAGACGATCTAATCGTGTGACAACCCGATATACCTCGAGATAGAGTGTCTTCTGCGCTAAGCTTGTACGCTCTGCTCTTCTAATCGATTCATCGATCAGTTATGTCTTCAGGTCGAGTTTCAACTAGGCCAATTGAGGGCCCTAGCTCGACCTGATGCTCCTCATCGACCTGAGGAACCCTCGATCTGTAGTCTTTTTATTCTCCGTTCAGCCTACTGGTTCACCCAGTTCAGGCAACTGGTTTCTCGGGCCCAGTCGACGCGGTATGGTATCCCATATCACTTACCTTGCATAGACAAAAGAGAGATGCATGAGTACTTACCATGCATAGACGAGAAGGTCGCTGACGTGATTGGAAAAACCTAGACTCACAAACTTAACTTGATTGAGAGTGACTATATTTGGAAGTTACTGAAGAACCTACTTACCATGTATAACGTGTATTTTGCCGTCTCGTACACTTAGTTTTAGACAATGATTATCATCTTAAGAGAAATGTGTAAGAGAGTTGAGACAGAGTGATCATTGTATAATTTTTATTTGTTTTGAGTGAGTGATCAAATTAGAGTCTTCAACTCTTACTTGAATCACACATACTTTGATTCATCATCAAAGTACTTGGGATGAACACTTTCTCATTTACACTGAGGGATCCGCCTATTAAACAAAGTCCATGAGAAGTGGCCGAAAAATTAGTTAGATAAGTGTGTACGATGTAGATTATGAAGAGAAAATCTTTGTTGTAAGTCTTAATTGTACTTGGTCAAACACTTATTTGAATGAAAGAGTTCGAAATGCTCTCTTGAAGGTTTATGTTTTATTTGAATTATTTCCGCAACTTGAGTGAACATTCATAGTTTATTATATTAAAGAGCAATTTTGCATCTCCCCAAATTTCATGAATAATTGAGCAAGATGCTCAATAACAATAATAATTTTTCTTAGGAATATAAGGTACCATTTGCAGCTAGGCACTCCATCAGAAACCATTAGACAAAGAAGGGTGTCAATAGGTGACATGACATGATTGTAAAAAGCAATTACAAGAAACATCACAGAATATAGCAGCAAAGCAGCTAGGCACAACATAATGCAGATAGGCAGCATAATAGAGAAGCATGTAATCATAAATTCAGTCGAGATAATACTTAGATGTTACATTTACGATAAGAAAAAGTAAGGATAACATGAGTCAATAAGATAAGTGAGTGTGACATAAACACAACACGGTCTCAAAGAATGGACCAAAGTAAGCTTCCTGAAAAAGTAATGGACTTGTCCAATAAAATTATTCAAGATGACCAAAACTGTTGCTACATCTCGAGTAATCAAGTCAACTGCGCTTTGCTATGTCAAGTATGTGAAATTACAATAAATATGAACGTAGCCTAAGCATTTTCTCCTTTCCTCCAAATCAGACCTATCCTTTTCTATATGATTCTTGAAATACCAACATGCCCAAAAGCTACTATAAAAACTACCTCTGACGAAAAAAATGAACAAAGGTGTAAATTTTATCGTTTACGACAGAAATTGTATGTGCATATACAGGATACAGGATCCAGGTTGTATAATCGCGTATAAATGGTTAATCTCTCATCTGGAATGATTTTGATCAACCGAAATGGAAGCCGGTCGATTTATAGGAATTGCTTGAAAGAGTTGGAAGTTTACGTACTGCAATAACACCGGCTGCAAGGGCTGCAAAGGATGCCAAGACAAATGCGGGTATGTTTCCCCCACCAAATAATGCATCCCATGGACCAGCACCAAGCGAGACAATCATCTGAATAAATAAATTAAACAAATAAATTTTTACTACGCTTATACCATATTTTAAGTAGTGCACCTGCCCAAATTACAGGTACTTGTAAAATTGAAAGACAACAAGATACTTTAAAATTTTATGAAACTTCTGGTACTTATCCCTTACAATCAAGAAAGGATAATAACAGAGAAGCATGACTAAACTACCTGAGGTACCACAATGGCTAGATTTAGGACTCCGATTGCTAGTCCTGAACAAAAATGCAACGCTCACAGTTCAAACACCCAAAAAACAGAAGAAAAAATGAAAATATTTTAATTAGCACGCAGAAAGTCAAGTGAAATGAACACGTACCTTGTCCACCTCCTGAATCAGCAGTCAGCTCAGCAGTAACAGAAAAGGGTACGCTATAAGTGATCTACAATGTAAGTTCAAAAGCATCAATGGACAAACTTTGGTGGCAATACTATCTTCTTAAATAGAGACGAGCAGTTCTGGAGACATGTGCTTACTATTTTAGGGAGAAAATAACACATTAAGTTTGTAGAAAAGTACATGATCCAAGCACTTACAGAAAGAGGAAGGCCAAGAAGAGCAAAAACAACTAAAGAGGCAATCTTGGTTGTCCCATTTGCACCAATAACATGTTGAATCCCATCAGAATGTTGTCTCACAGATACCAAGCTAATAATAGCAGTGCCAGCCATGCATATAAACACGATAAAATTGCTACAAGCCCAAACTAGTCTGGATCCAATCCACTGGCACATTGGTTCAATAAAGAAGGAAGCAATGCCGAGAACAACCTGCAATTTTTATTTTTCTACTTTTAGAGGAAAATTGCAGAGCCTTAATAATAGCAGAATCACAGAATGCTAAAACATGCCAAATACAGCTAGCAGAAAAATACAGTTTAAAGGTGTTTCACTTTGAGTTCTTACAGAATTCAATAGCAAACCGAATGCACCTTCTCTGACACCTTGATTGTAAGCTTGAATTTCAGCAGCCTCTCCTTTTGGGTCACCGTGAAAAACTTCTCTCCCCATCCAATCAGTGTCAAATAGGAAAAAGGGAAACCAGGAAACCTGATTTAAACAGAAAAATGAAGAAATTGGACATAATGAAGCTAATTTCTTAAACTGATGGAGTTACATTTTGAATAATGGAGAAAAATGAAAAAGAAATACTCGTAAAAAGTAAATACCCAAGTCAAAGCCATGACCACTAGCACTGAATGCATTGCTGGAGGTAAATGACGTAAGCTTGTGAGCAAATTAACCAAAACAGCCCCGGGGCTGTCACTAAATCCATCGTCATCGTTTTCATGATTGTTTTCTTCTTCAGTTCTATCATCATTATCCATTTTGTGATGCCTCTCAGACTTAAGTTTGATTTCTTTAGGTTCCAAGTTAAATTTGTTTTCGGAAGGGTCATGGCCATTTAACTGATGGTCATCCAAGAGAGGAGCAGAATCTGATAGACGATGTGATTGCTTTGGCATCAGTGGTACTTCCTTCGCAAAGTAGAGGGTTACAAGCGTACAGAAAGTGAGGAAGACCTATAATAGGAGCCAGAGTTTAGTGATGCAAATATCTAAATAGGAAAAACTGAATTTACAGCTTACAAGTGCAAGCAGTTTTCACATGCCGAATAAAGAATGTGTACAGTGAATATTTCTACAAGAAAACGGAAACACCAAATATCAATTGACACAATCAGCATCAGATTAACTGACAGATAGCGGATAACCACGATTAAATTTGTTATACAATAAAAGATACAACTCGATGAGAAGAAGATTTGTGTACATTACACGATCCTCAGTTCAGCAGAAAAAGTAACTTCAAAAAGATTCTAGTACAGACCACCTGGAAACCTTTGGAGCAGTGTGACAAAACATATCTTAATCCCTCTATAAAAAACATAACAATTCCGTTATCATTCAAACTTTGTGCAACAGTGCTCTGATTCATTTAACAATTCTGTTATCATCCAAACTTTACGAAACAGAGCTGATCCAAACTTTTTTAAAAGCTATCCTCATAAATGATGTGAGACTACTGATTATCACAAATACTTGTAAGAAACACTGTGGAGAAGTTAACAGAACAAACGCATTATAAATTGTATCTACATAACTATGTTCAGTAATAGAGCCTACAATTTTTCGTCAAAGCAACGAAAATGTTATGAGAAATGAATAATTAATGTTCCGTGGCAGTAATCACAGATAAGCTACTTGATCTATAAGATGTCTAAAACATTTCGAAGTAAGTGTTCTCATCTAAATTTGATATTATATTACGTAAAAGCACAAGCTCCTATCCAATTAGTTGCTCACCACTGCAACTAAAAATGCTGCTTTGAGATTCCCACATGGTTCGCAACAAGCTCTACTGGTCAAAAAAGGAAACCATCTGCTCACAAACACACACACGCACAAGGCATAAAAGAATAATCAGTGACCAGAATTTACACAGTTAAATCGTTATATGCATTCTGACATAGGTGAAACGGATCAGTGCGATGTTGGGTAATTATATCATTCTAGGTACCACATATGAATTAATATATCAAATTATCACCGAACAGCATATGAAACATTATTCTTAAATATAACCTGTGCCAATTTCCACTAGCACCTGAAGAAAATCCTAGAATGTTCCCAACAGCCATCCAAGCACAAAATACAGCATTTGCTGAATTTCTTTGATCAGGACCTGGCATTGCATATGTACATAGCTTAGTTATCCATTAAAAAAAAAAAATGAGATGTTGATGCAACAATATTTATCGTTTATGCTGGACTAATTCATATTACGATAATCATCAAGATTTTCCAATTAATGGATGTTGGTATGGCGATAGGTAAACACGCAATGAAAAAGATCTTGATCGCAGTAGTAAGAACAGTAAAAAGGTAGGACAGAATAGAAGAAAGGATGATATAACCATATAAGATCCCACTTATACTTAATAATAGTTTTATAGTTAAAGATGTGTTCAGTGAGTTACAGACACAGGGGAGGCAATACCTGATAAATCAGCAAGGAGAGCCCGAGCTGGACCCTGTAAAAACTTGAGACATTCAGTTTTCTCTTTGTAAGCAAATTAGTAACTATGAAAAACATATGAAACAATAAAAAAATCACCTGCACAGTATTGTTTGCAAGGTCTAGCATCCAAAATCCAATTACAAAGACAAAAGCTGCCCTTGTGCGGGTCCCTTTGAATGTGCTGCATTTTCATGGGTCACTCACCACAGGTTTTTGTGTAATAAGAAAAGGTAATAAGAATGAAGAATGAGAAGTTGAAGAAACCTGCAATGCTCTTTTGTATCCCCTAATATGTAACCAATGTCTGCAGAAAACCCAATTATTATGACCTATATAGCAGAACTTAGTTTAGCTGGATTTACAAATAGTCTTCCATCAAGAAAAAAAGAAAGAGAAAAAAAAAAAAAACAGAACAAGAAAAACATGAGAACCACATTATACTTACAGCAACTGAGATCATTAGAGATCCAATAAGAATAAATGGCCTCCGTCTGCCATATTTGGAGGTGCATTTATCACTCCATATACCAACACAAGGTTGAACCTGAACACTTGCAAATAAGCGTCTTTGGCAGCATCAAGACATAAGTAAAGCATAGAACTTTAGAAAATTAAGAAATAATCTAGTTGCCACATACCACAAGGCCGGTTATGGGACCACAAAGCCATATGAAAGAAGAAAATTCGTGGCCTATACCAAGCGTCTGCACCAAAACAGAAATGAAAGTTTTACTGAAAATATAGATAACAAATTTAAAGAGAGAGTACGTGAGAGAGAAACGCAAAATATCAACCTTGCAACATTTCATAATAAATTATTAGCAAACATTTCAGATTATAAATATTTCGTGAGCAGTATCATGCATCTATCTAATCAGACTATGTCCAATCAAAAATACAAAAACCAAAAATCTACCACAGCTCAAAGCATCAAATTATGTTTTTGAAATCACATAATTAACACAAAACCAGTTGTCAACGTATATCCATTATAGAAGCATCAAGGCTCTAATATCCATTTACCATCACAAAAATCAAAACCTCCCAATAACATCTCAATCTCTACACCTTCTTCATTAAATCCCTAGGAACGAACTTCAGAGTTAGCAGTTCATGACAGCATTACGCATCAAACCATTTCCAAGGAAACTCACTAAAAGTACCTAAATTTTCTGTACCACTTCCTGAACCATCAACCTAAATACACAATCAAACTCGATTCCAGTCTTCAAAACCAAAGAGCGCGAACGTTTACCTGAATATATGGAGTGAGGAGGGACAGCTGAAGGGCCCATCCAAACTGAACCCCAGCGGCCACCGTGCAACTGAGGATCAGCGTCAATAAGCTACAATTTTTCGGCGGCGGGTGATGCAGATCAGAAACCGGGGACGTTTCTCCGCCGCCGCGCGACAATCCCGGCGCCGATGATGAATCGTGGATCTGTATAGAGCGCTCATGATCCCATTCGCCAGCGCTCACCAGCTCCACTTCCTGCTTCAAGTTTCTGTACGGCACACGGATCGAAACTTCATCCATTTTTCTGTACAATTAAAACTGTTATTTACACAAACAAAGTGAAACTGAAACTGAATTGGATGAATTCAGCTGGTCTTTTTAGGAATTGAATGGATACTGTGTAATTTGTGACAGATTTTGTCTAGTTAAGACGAAAATTTCAGATTAAAAGTTTGGGCGGGGATTAGGAACTATGTTAAAATTCAGCGTTTGATTCGGAATCTCTCTACATGTTCATGTGAAAATGATGCTTTGTTCGTACTCGAACCATTTCAAGTATGAAAAATGATGAAGTAAATGCAATACTGAATATACTTGTCTTAGTAGCAGGTGGAAACGTTGTTAAGAAATTTATATTAAAAGTTAAAAATAATAACAAAAAAAAGTTATTTTAATTTTAAATACGTTTTTATAAATTATATTACTATTTATATTGAAATATTATATTGCTCTTTTTTAGCTTCTAATCTAATAAGGGGGTGTATTCTTTTAAAAATTCTAAAGACTTTTAAAGACTTTTTAAGATTTATGAAATCTGGGTGTATTTAAATAAGACTTTTTAGGATTTTAAAAAATGTAGAGGACTTTTCTCTTGATAACTTGTTATTGTGTTCAACATGGTTAACCTATCACTTGTTAATTTGAGGTCTAGAAGATATCTATATTATTATTGTCCTTCATCCACATATAGCGAAAGCAAGCTTCTCTTCACCCTAATTTAGAAACAAAAGCCTTACTAATGTATGTAATGGATGTAGCGAATGAGTAACGAAAGAGATAAATCAGAGAAAGACTTTAATCAAGTTCATATAGTAGGACTCAGGAGGACAATTGCACAAACTTGGCAAACTACGACTCAGGTAACATTTAAAGAATTAAGCTCAAATTACTTCCAATTCGTTTTCTCTAATATGGCAGACAAACTCAAAAGTGTCCAAAGGCTATGGATGGACATGTGAAAATCAGTACTTAATCCTAAGAGAATGGAAGAAAGACATCCACGCATCTCACCAAGATTTGGAAGAATTGGATTTTTGGGCGCAGGAGTGTAATGTCCCTATCCACTGGATATTAGTTGATTTTGGGTTAAAAATTGAAAGAGACTTTAAGCAAGTCAAGGATGTGGTAGTACCCCAAGGAGGAAATCTAGCAGGTAAGTGTCTCAGACTTATTGTCACAGTTGATCTCACTCAGCTTATTCTAAGATGTACTAATATTCAGTTGGGATCAAGGAAAATCACAGTGGAATTCAAGTATAAAATTCTAGTGGGCCCACTTATGCTACTATTGTGGGCACATTGGACATCTGGACAGAAAATTGTGGAAAAAGGGGCTCATATATTATTTCAGTGAATTTGACAGAAGGTAGGTATGGAGATTGGATGAAACTTGAGAGCCCAATCTTTCCCATCAACCATGAGCAGGAGCCTAAAAGCTCCACCTCAGATTTACCTACTCAAAACAGTAACTAAAGCTAAAAACAATCCTCAGAAACAATAAATAACCCCTCAACCAGTAAAAACTTAGTGGAAATTCAAGAACCAATCTCTCAAAATCAGCCTAAAAAACTGACTCCTCAAATATCCATCCCTTTAACTGTCATCAATCCTCCTCTTGAAGTTTCATCAACACAAATAATAGGGGAGATCACAACCACTTACCTGCCTGAACCAACACTAATAAAGCCAGTTCATCATTTTGCCGAGTTGCTCTCTGTTGTGGTTAACCCAAATAAAGTTTGACAGGTACACAGGCTCTTAGTGTTTCCTTTTTCGAGTAGTTGTGCTCCCTTCCTTATTAGTTTGGTTCTGTGTTTGTTTAGGACACCTTGGGTGTTTCACCTAGTCTTCTTTTTAGAAGTATGTGGGGTGAAGGTCTCCGGGTGCGGGATCTTGGTATCCGTTTGGATTGGGGTTGGGTCTGTTGGTGTCCGACTCAGTTAGACGTTCTTTTGTAGTTTTGGGTCGGGTTTCTGGGCCGTGGCTCTGTCTGGTTGGATAGATGTCCGTTGGTGTAGCTGTTGTTTTGCTTGGTGTGGCTACTTGTTGCGGGAAGGTTAACTTAGCTGTTTTTTCGTGTGTTTTTGTTTCGCGGTTGTGGTTAACTTAAATGATCATTGGATATATCTTCTCACTATATTCAACTCTAAAGCTGTTTTCTAAATGTACTTTTGTATTTTTTCTATAAATTNAAAAAAAACCTAGAAACGAAAAAATAAAAATAAAAACAACAAAGTTGAACTTTTAACTCACGGTTTGACATAAATTATAGTAATATTTTATATTACATATGTATGTCACAAGTAGTATGTTCATTCAGAGGTGCGTTGCATTCATTCACACAGTCACACACACCAACTCGAGCCTCCAGCTACCCAGTAAAATATATAAGTCTAAACCATTCCTATACTAAAATCACAATCCCCATACTAAACAATCACTTAATCTTATAACAAGACTCTCCCCACCTCGCTCACATACTAAACACCATATCTACACAAACACAATGGTACCCAAAGTCAACAACCCATCCCAGGGCCAAACTCGTCATTTCCCCAAATTTCCACGGCTCCCCAGATCCGCGGCCGCCTGAGCCGCCCGATTCAGAGCACCTGACACCCAGAGTGCCCCTTTCGAGAAGTAACTGCTACTCACCACCGCATTAGCCGCCGACAGTGCTGTCCTGCCCGTGGCCGACACAGCCGTTCTCGTGGTGTCTGAAATGTGGTACCTCTGATCGACCGATCGAGCAGCCTCGACCCCGGCAAACAGTTTTTCGGTCAGCCCTATCCTCTCGCTGAGCTCCGCCACTTTGGCAACTGCAGTTGCCGACACCTGGTGAGACTCGTCAAATGCTTTGGCTCTCCCGAACGCGTCTTTTCCAAGCACATACCCTTTGGCAACCATTGTTTTCACCACGTCCTGGGCTAAGGAGACGGCTTCTCCGGCAGATGGGACCACTCGGAGTGGTTGGGTGTTCGTCTATTTTTTTTTTTTTTTTTTTCAGATACCGAATCTCGGAAATATTTAATATTAGGCAGGAAAAAGTTATCATTGCACGAAAGGGAAAGAGGAGCTTACACTTGTAGTACTACTTTCATCTTCAATTCTCCATGAGGGATGATTCCATATATTATAGTCGTCTTCGTAATGTCCCCAACGGGTTATGCAGACAGGTTGGTCCACGATAGTAGCACCCTGATAAAGGCATTCAATTTCTATAAATAAAACTCGAAGGAAAAGTAGATAAACCCAGTGTTGATCTTCGACAAGGCACTGAAGGAAGATATTATATTAATTCACCCAAGTGCATTCTTTCCCTTGATGGGTAATTATAGTAGTAACCACGAAATGACAAAGGCTGTCCGACAGAAAATGGAATTGAAGAGTTAAAATAATATACTTTACAAGTTTAATAGACTGAGAAAATATAAGAAACCAAGATAGCAAGATTACAGCCACGTTAGAAAGATGAGTTTATCTTACAATAAGAGGACTCGGCGAGATAAAATGATATAATTCAACAATGAAATTAGTCTCTGTATTGATTAATCATAATACGAACATGCCCAATCTGGACCAGAAAATGAGTTTAAAAGCTACTGGGAAGTTAATTAAGGTCCCAGATATAAAAACGTTGATACTAAAATAAGCCATTAATAGCTGGATAGAACATTCATATATTCACTCACACTGAGCAAGACAGCGGTTTCTAGAGCATGAGGATTTTTGAATGTCACATAGGCTGTGCATGCATATTCACCAGCTCTGCAAATTTCCAACAACCAACAAATGAAGATCGAATGGTAACAATAACGAGTAAATAAATAAAGGCTTCACAAGATACAATGAAGGCTTGCAAAGTTCTAGCAGTAATCTTCAGAATTGTTCATTCAAGGAAGGTTATGTCAAACGGTTCAGTGAATATATAAATTATTGCTCATGTATAATGGCACCATCAAGTTGTGATGGATTTTGAGTCAACGCGGATAGCACTCAGGGGGAAACCTCCAATAGTTAGTTATCCAAATCTGTTAACAGTTAAGATAAATATTTTACAGTAATCAACAGTCTACCACTCCAATTATCTGCTGCAAAGTTTCCTTTTTAGCTTCTTCCTTTGCAATATTGAATATGCAACACATACACGTATTATGCATGCGGGAGGAACATAACCCGGCCATATTTAAGTCAATAAGTGAGTGTAATAAGTTTAAAAGGTAAACACTGCAAAAATAATATGACAAGAAAAGTTATTACAGTGGATAAGTCATGGGGAAACTGCCCTATATGGAAAGTACCTGACAATTTCAACATGCTCAATTGCACCACAGAAAGCGAAAAAATCATAGACATCCTTCTCAGACGCATTTGGAGACAGACTTGTAACTTCAGCAGTATAACCACTTGGACTCATTTCTGTAAAAAAATATTATCAAGTAAAAACAAAACAATTATTTAATAGTCTGACTACAAAATTCATAGACTCATAGATATAAATATCCCTCTCAGCCAACAAACCTACAATCACAAGCATTTCAAGCTCTTCTGAAGATAGATAAACATGCGTTATCCCACGTAGAGGACCACAAAATGGCGACTTGACAGGAAGTACTGTTTCCTTATTTGTATTTCATAAAGATATCATTTAACGCAATAAATTGATTACTTAAGCAGGCAAAAGATAACTATTAGCTTATAAGAAAAACACAAATCTGTCAATATCCTGGAATCAAAACGACATAATTTGTTTTCTGACAGTTAACTAACGACATACGAAAGATTACCATCCTACACTTAACTTATCAGTAATAAAGTTTCCCGTAATTATTTCTTGGAAAAAGAACAATATAGTCTATAGATATGATCAAAGCTCTGTGTTACATTGATTGTAAATGAACCAAAAATTCATGTGCCTTCACCAGGCTAAAAATGGATTAACAAAAAACTTATCTTAATATTATATTTCCTACCCACTGCAACACTTTGATGAAAACATAATACAACATCAGATATTCGGCTTCTGTTAGCAGATTGACAAATGTAAATGAAGCACAGCTTCCACTGCATATATATTTAACATCCCCTTAACATCACAATATATCTGATGACAATATCAACAAAAATAGCATCATCTTAACCAAATTTGGTCCTCTATAAGACAACAGACCAAATAAATACAACCCCAGCTTCAACATATAAAATTCTGTAGATAAACAAAATGAGACATTATGTGTGCGTGTGTGTGCATCATGTTAACATTTCTGGTAAAGATGAACCAAAGTGTCCCAAAATTCGTCCAACAAATGAACATATCCAACCAGAAAACACAACAACTGAAATAAGAAAAAGAGACAACAATAGTTAAAATATAAAATCACCGTGACTAATGTTTGATGCACACAATGAAGTAGTAACCTTAATTCCGAGTTCAAAATAACATCACTCATCAGAACTAAAATATGACAACTGGAAGCAAACAGTGCAAGAGCTAATAGAGATGCTGCAAATTGAACCGGAGAATAACGAAATTCATAAATTTCATGAACAAGAATCGACGAATCATAGATTCTAACAGTATATTTCAGAAAAAAAAAACAATTTCGTTCGTGTACCTTCTTTTCCGATCACCAGGAAGAAGTATGGCTTGATGGAAGCTGAAGCTTCGTGAAGAGCTGTGCAAAAAGCGTAAAGCGTGTATTTTCAGCTCTTCACATTGCGGACAGGTATTCGGAAGAATTTCATCAAGGCCCTTAAGATAAGTGATTATTTCACATGTAGACTAAAATTTTGCAAGGTTTCAACTCGGGGCCTAATTTTTAATGTTTGCTCAATTAAAGACTTTGAAATCCATACAAGTCAATTGAAAATATGAATATTCGGCCGAAAAGGAAAAAAATCCCCAATATCTCTACAGTAAATCCTCGTTTTTTCCGGTCGTCGCGGCTTCCTCTTCAGCCTTATGCTCAGGGGCAAAACCAGAAAATTAATTGAGAGGGACAAAAGACACGACATAATAGATTCAGAATCGAACCCTAATGGATTTAGAACCGATATCGAATCGATAACATTTCGGTAATCGATTTTTGGTTACCATTACACATAGTCGATTCGGTTCGGTTTATTTTCTCATTGGCTCGGTTCAGTTCGGTTCAATTTTTGGTTTTCGGTAAAAAAAATACCAATCCCAGTCTTAGCCTGGCCAATAAAAGAAAGTTGAAGTCTTTTATATAGGTAAATTAAAATTATAGAATGGTAATAATGAACATACAAAATTAATAGTAAAATAAATTAAAGAAGTGTTGAATTGTTAATTGGAAATTGTGTGACGTTTAAAAATAAAAAATATAGGGGTGCAAAAATAAATTTAAAAGGGGAAAATTAAAATTTTAATGTTAACAATAAAAAAAATTAAAATTTGAGGGGGGGCAATTGCCCCCCTATCACTACATCTAAATTCGCCCATGCTTATGCTCTAATCCAATCGAGGAGGACGGGCAACATTGCTTCCCTCTCCTCTCCGTTTGGTCTCGGAGTGTCGGTCCCATGTGGCATTTCCACTTGCAACGAGAGCTACGGCGAGGCTGTCCAGCAGCTTTCGTGGCGTGGAGTGGGGGGTCGACTTTGTAGTGATTTTTACGTGTGTTTTATGTGGTTAGTCGAGTTGTTTCTAGGTTCATTTTCTTCTTTAACTGGTCCACTTTAGTTGTTTGATGTATTTTCGCTCTGGTTTTGTATTTTTCATATTTTGGCGTATATTTTGGTGTCTTTTGGTGTTATCTAGGTCTGTTGTTTGAAACTTGAGGATGAGGAGCTCGGGTCCCAAGCATGTCGAGTAAATCTTTCCTAGCGAGTTTGTCGAGAGAGCCATCCGAGCCATTTTCGATCCATTATCGAGCCATCGCCGAGGTTGCTAGTGGACCACCGAGCCGTTGACGAGGTCACCCGTGGACAGTTGCATCGACCGCGCGACATTTCCCGCACACAGTCCTTGACGACGGCGTGACATCGCCCGTACATAGCTAGATGTTGACCGCGACATCGCCCGTAGATAACTGCATCCATCGTCGAGGCATAGGCGTACACTCGCTAAGAAACTGCGTTCGCGACTGCGCGAGTCTCCTATGAACAACACCACACACTGGAAGCGAAATTGCATTGGCAACCTCGCTAGTCACCCAGCACTCAGGCCACACACTCGCAGCAAAACTGCGTTGGCGACCGTGCGAGTCACCCAAAGGCCTTGCCACATACTCGTAGCGAACTGAGTTTCACTGGCCTGCGAAGTGTTGATTCATTAAATGTATGCGTTTCTAGTGTGTGTATCATTGGGGTATAAATACATGTAGTCTTTGGCATTTTTGTAACAACTTTTGTTCTAGTATTTTCTTTTTCAAGTATTTTCCCTTAGATTTTCTTTTTCATCCTAATTTCGTCCTCACTAATTATTTGCTTCATATAATTATCTTCTCCCATCCGCTCTTGACCCTATTAAAACAGTACTTAACTCTAATACAGAATACAAAATATTACGAGGTCGCCATACATACATTGAATTAGTGAAATATCCTTAATGATGCAAATTTTTTGTCAATGATTACATGTTTCATTAATTCAAAAGCTAAAGAACAGTTCGTGTAATAGGTGTGGAAATGCACTCAAACCCGGGTGAATGATACTTGCCAGCACGCATGAAACACACTCAAAAAGCTTCACACGAGATAATTAAGTATGCAACAATCATATAAGAAATACCTTTCTATCTTCGTATCTATATCGTATCAATACAGATATAAGATAAGGATACCAATTTTTCAAAATATCATATTTTATTTTCTTGAGATTTGAATAAATCGAGACCAACTACAAATAGGTGAAGGCAATTTGTATACATTGCCTAATGTTTCTCCACTTGTCTCGTGTGTTGACCAAGAGTCGAATACCGATAGGCGATGGTTTCATTAATTAAAACTCATCAAATTAAAGTCATAAATAAATTCTAGAATAAGTAGATAATGGTAAGTTTGCTGTCACTCTGATTATGACTGTTCAATAAAAATATATTGAAATGTATCACTTTTTTAAATAAACGCGTAAAACCTACTTAACATACTTTAATGGTATCAAATTTTACAATACAAGTATATATTTTTTGTTTAGAGTACAATTTTTGTGATGGTGAATATATTAGGCAACTAATTAAGACCTGAATTCTTGGGTAAGAAAGCTAATAAATGCCATATTTGTCGGAGCACACAATACGGGAAAAATATTACAAATGGCTAGGGACGTTATTTGAGTTGAGCGAAGCCGACTTGCTCATGTGGGAGCTGATGCTCGTTTAATAAACGAGTCAGTTCAACTCGACTAGTTTAATAAAATAAACAAAATGCTTCAGCTTGTTTAAGTTCGTGAAAACTCGATTCTGCTTGACTCGGTTTGTTTAATAAACTCTAAGTTCCCAAACGAATTGTTCGAAACCACAAAAAATTTGTTTGAGAAAAAGTTCGGCTGGACTACTACGTTTGAAATCTAAAACAAATGAGTTCGTGTAATAAACAAGTCCAATTACTTGTCGAGCTCTACTTGTGTAAGTAAATGAACGAGTTGAACTCGAACTAAACTGCATCAAGGGACATCTTGGTTTAATGATAGCCCAATATGCCTCATTAGGCTAAATTAGGGGAAAATTTATGTTAATTCCTGAACAATTATGCCAAATTAGTGCAAGATTTATATTAGTTTCAGTTATATGTACTATGCCTTTTTTTTTTTGTCCTAGCTATGCATGTTTTGGCATGCTTATTAATGAATAAATGTCCTAGCTATCCAACGTCAGTCGGGATATATACATTACTTGCTGTTATTAAGCTCAAGAAATAAGATATAGCAGTAATTTTATTGTTAGCTACTCAAACAATCATTACCCAATGATATTTACAATACTTTGAATGATATTCTTCTATTAGCACTGTAAGGCAAAATTGTTCTGTAGTATGGTTGTTTTTATAATATAATTTAAATACAATTAAATAAATACAAAACAAAAAATAAGTAAAGATACAATTTGTATTTTTATGCAACATAGAAGCTTTCCTTATTAGGGATATCCGTAAGTATTGGAACTGGAAAGTAGCTACACCACTATATATGGATTAGTAGGTGCAACTTATAATTAGAAGGAACCCATCTTTAATTATATAATAATAATAATAAATATTATTTGGAAGCAACAAAAGCAGAATTCTATTGCATAAATATTATTTTTTTTTTTATAAAATAAGCTGGGGGACACTATACATATGCAATTACGCATACACACACATATAGCATCCCAAAAGCTAAAAAAGTTCTTAGTTGGCCTAACATAGTGACCAAACCCTAGACAACAATAATTAATAATTAAGAGTCAAATAAAAAGACACATAAGCGTACATATAATTATATCGTGATTTGGACTCACACACACACACACTATTACATTAATAAGCTTCTAATTATGGCTGCCTGAGCACTGTCACCGTCAGTCGACTCGAGAAGCTCCGATAATCGGTCACTCAGATCATCGACCTCTCTATGCAAGCTCCGAATATAGTTGCAAGTCTCTTGGAGCACTTTTGAAGCCGAAACCTGTCACCAAAAAATTCAAAAATGTTATAAAATAAATTCATATCTATTTATATATACTGTAATTAAATTTATTAATCTTTTTTTTTTTGCTTGCGTAGTTGCGTACATCAAATTCATCTAAAAAATGTGTGGACTACAAATTTTGGAGTATATAAAATAGATCACGCTATGTATGAATTTAATTTACACTGTGACAGGTACACATATAGTTGCATGCATCTTAAATATGGTATATATGTAGCTAGGAAACACAATTGTCCCACAAAACAAATTGTGAATTAAATGTTGGATGTGGGCATGTCCAGTATCCAGACCCGTTAATGCTTATCCCTTAGGAAGAAAAAAAATTAAAAAAAAAAATGAAATACGCAATTAAATTTTGTAAATACATATATATTCGATGATTATTAAATATAATATAGAATTAATATTGTTATACCTTGTCCGAACGCCTATTGCGCATCTCAGGAATAAGCTGTTGCAACCTGCAAACGAGATCGGATATCTGATCATCGCTAATCCTGGAAGACCCTGATTGCCTCGAACGTGACCTTCTGCTAGACATTATTATTTTCAGCTAAAAATAGAATAAAGCAACAAGTTATAGTATGTAGGATGATAATGGTTGTCAGAAATTAAGTATCACT